CTCCGCTGTTTCAATTCCATAGGTACTGATTCAGTCCACCACTGCACTGCATGTTCTTTCACTTTCCCAATTTTCGCAGCTCTTCGATCGTTGTAACAGTACCTGCCCGCCTGTGAGATCTTCACCCACCCTCCCGTTCCCTCGACTTCCCACCACCACCACCTCCTCCACCACCACCTTTACCAACTGTAGCCGCCGACGATCAACCGATCCTGCACGGAGTGATATCACCCTGGTTGGGCCAGCGGTACCTGTTCGGACCCTGAAGCCTTTGCGCCCAGTGTTTATTCTCCTCCTGTGATCACCAACATCATCACCTACTCATTGCCCCGTGGCCGATGATCGCCGGCCATTCCCCTCCCCATCCCCATACTTCCAGTATTCTCCGCCGTCTCCGTTCGCCTCGTCACTGTGGGGAACACCCGGCCATTCTCCAGCATCATCCATCGCTAACTAAGTGATTCGCCGATGGGTCCTCCCCGTCACCACCCACTTTCTTCTCCCTTCTCTTCTTCTTCTTCTTCTTTTCTTCTAGACTCCCCCCCTCCTCTCGTCTTGATCTTCTCCATCCTCTTACTTCTTCTCTCGCCCATCGTCGCTGCAGATATTTCGGGCGACTGGACGGTGAAGCCGTCCAACAACTCGGCAGACCTCTCCTGGATCGGAGACTACAGATACTTGTTGAACAGCTCTCAACTCGTGCCGGCCGCATCCGTGACCTTAGCTCCGCTGACCCAGGCCTTGGTCAATCTCACCGAGTCGGAACTTACAGTAAGCCGTCTCCGCCTCAAAGAATGTTGAGATATACGACCATGTGCGTATTCCGGGGACTCCGATGGACTGACCCGACCTAGAATTTGCGTATCACGGGTAGCTTGGTGGACGTAGACGCCACCAATTCTCGGTCTTTAAGTAGCCAGGATATCGCTGTCATCAGTTGCGACGCTTCTGCATATCCCGGGAACTTAGATGCCAGTCAGACGGTGAACTACGTCCTCAACGCGCAGCAGAAGGCAGCCGCGGTGATCCTGTACAGTGCATCTGCAACTCACTGCACGTATTCACCTTCCGGCTCATCCGCCAGCCAGTACGACAACGTTTTTACTGTGTTGAACCCGCCCTGGTCCAAGCAGCTTTCCACACAGCTTACTTCCCTCGGGGACGGCTCATCTACCATCTATCCCAAGTCCACCAACATGTCGTTCATAGCTTCGAACACGAACAACCAGGTCGGGTCGACCGGTGACAGTCCGAACACTGGTATGTGGTTGAGTTCCTTGCCTCACTACTGGTGACTGACCCCTGGGAATAGCGATGATCATCTTGTATACGATTACCGGTATCATCACGGCGCTCTTTCTAGCCATCATCATTACCGGAGCAGTCCGGGCCCATCGCCACCCTGAGCGCTATGGGCCGCGGCATACGGCGGGAAGACCGCGCCAGAGTCGAGCAAGAGGCATAGCACGAGCCATGCTTGACACGATCCCGATCGTCAAGTTCGGGGACAACAACGACCAAGGCGGCAAGACCGAGGCAGCCAAGGGGGATGTAGAGATGGCGATGGGACCTGAGGCGCAGTCTCGTGAGACTCTAGAGGAGGGACGTGAGACGACGACCATGCCTGCGACTACGAACACGACGGATGAGGTCTCTGCTCCGATATCGCCTCATTCTCAGGAGATGCCGACGGCTGCGCCGCATTCCACGGACGAGCCACGCAGCACTGCCCCCGATGCGGGAACGACCACGGATTACCCAAACTTTGCCTGCCCAATCTGCACGGACGATTTCGTCAAGGGCCAAGATCTGCGCGTGCTTCCGTGCAACCATCAATTCCACCCGGAGTGTATTGATCCCTGGTTGGTGAATGTATCTGGCACCTGCCCGCTTTGGTATGTTCTCTGAACACCTCGAACATGACTGTGCGACCAAACTAACGAATGCTTTCAGTCGTATCGATCTCAACCCCGCTCAGCCCGAAGGTGAAGAAGGCCCAGACACGGGCGATAGCCACGCGGAAACAGCTCCCGAGGCGGCCAGTTCCACGCCCACGGCGCCCGGGGGCAACAGCCACCAACACCGCCACCGTCGACTGAGCAGTTATCTCCATAACACGCTGAACGCCCGCCGTATGCGCGATGCCAGTGTCGAGGAGCGTCTCGCAGCTCTGCGCAGCGTCCGGGAAGAGGCGACTCGCCAGGACTCATCCTCAGACCCAACCGAAGAGAGCGAAGAGCACCGCCGCCGACGTAGCGGTCTGGCGAGACGGCTGCGCGAGCGGTTCCGCGTGCGCACTCGGGCGCATGAGACCGAGCCGACACCAGAAGAAGCGGTCACACCCGCCCCTGCCACTACCTAACGATCTACATACACGACGATTTTTTCGGTCTGTACATGTTACATGTTTTCCATTTTTTCATTCGAGCACCACGCGCAGTCGAAGCATTTTTTTCAGCTCTACTTTCATGTTACGCCATTCATGTGATGCCATACTGTGAATTCAAACACAGGTGCACAGGACATGGGCGATGAACAACGACGACAACAACAACTTGACAACGCCAAAGATAATGACGATCATGGGATGCTGTTACATAGCCCGGCCTGGCTGCTACCGGCTGTCTCTCTATTCTTCATCTTCTGCAAATCCTTGGTCTCTTCTGCGTTTCCATGCTTGGTTGATTGTTACATGGTCAAGGGCAATAAACGGCGTTTGAGAGGGGTTCTCCTGTTTGGGTTATTGGGATTATTGATTCTGGGCTGTACATAGGACTACACTTTTCTTATCGAATATGGGAGATCGAATCTCCCTTAGGACGATGTTGTGGGCTATGAAACGTAGGTGTAGATAATCGTATCAGGTACTGTCTCAGTATGTAGCACCCGACACTACATCTTACTTGGTGGAGTAAGCGAAGCGACTGTTTCCTCCCCTCATTAGGTACACAAACTCCCCCCCTCACTTGATCAACCCCTCCCCTCCGAAAGTCTTCAGCAACCGTTCAACTTACCCCAAAGCCTACCGTAGAGTCTTTTACATCGCGGGTAAATTGGAGAAATTGCCCCTGACACACCCCTCGAACCACTGCAGGCCCCGCACCATCCCCAAATTGGGAATCCTTCCCCCTTCCACCCGACTTCCCAGATCCCGGGCCCGTCCGTCCAACCTTCCATCCCATGGCACCGTGACCCTTCCCTTCCCCCTGCTTCCAAGTATTGAGCTTAAGCCACCCGCACCTAATCACCGGAGAAAGGGAAAGGAATATCAACAAGAATTACCTAACCTAACTTTGGACTTACTGTAAAAAAAAATGTGAGGGGAAATGTTGCGGGGAAGAAGGACTGACGGCAGGGCAGGCGGCGCGCGGGGGAAATAATGCCCGCAAATTACGTACACAACCGTTTTCCAACAAAAAAAAAAACCACTGCCAGGCCCCAGCTGCTTTCGGATTCCGGGATCCGGCGAGGCTAGGATTGAAAACCCCATGGGGTAGAGTGAAAATAAAGATGACAATCCAAGATTTTTCTGGGTTTATAATTTTGGGGGGGGGGGTAAGATTTTCTTTGTGTGTACTATCAACTGAAGTGCTTTGGCTGGATTAAACCCCCCAGCGAGGAAGTCTACTTTGGGTCGAGCTTGGTTCTAAGTCTGAGTGTTGAGGATAGAAGGGGAAGGTGTTTCCTAACATTGAACTTTGGATATTCCCTTAAGCTGGATTGAGTGAGGCTTGCAATGGGATTCCAATCGATTGATTGTTCAGGTTCAAGTTGGGCTGCCCGTGATCTCGAGCTCTGATTCTTCTGATGATGTATCTTTATTATTTTGATTATTGTAGGAACCGGCAGTGTAATGTCGTAAACCTTTTCTCAATGCTGATGATGCTGGACCTAATTTGTGACTACAGTGTACAATCCATCCTCCCCATGAGGAATTAAATGTCTCTTCAATCGGCGATCGAACCTAATATAAAAATAAAACTACGTGCCCCCCGCCCCTTCAAACGGGGCGAAGGAAAAATCACGCAGGGCTAGACGGTTGTCTGCCGTAAGTGGGGTAAAAGAGGATGACACATCGGGGTTTCGAGGCCGCGGTGATTGGGCGGGGCACCACACAGTGTCGGTTGGAGTCGGCCACGCAGGTGGCTGTTCTCTTTGCCCCCCTGTGTTGGTCCGGAAGAATGATTGACAGTTGAAAGGATTAGGAGAATCGGGGAAGAAGATTTACTGATAGAAGGAATGCAATGGGCAATGGATTCTGTGGATTTGGCAGAAAGAATGTTGCGGGTGGATGAAAGCGGAGGTTTCAGGTTCACCTGCAGCGATAAGTCTTATTTACAGTACTGTCAGTCATATGATGAGTGAGGGGTGCTGAAGAACCACCACCACGGGAGGCAATTGGAAAGAACATGATTCGGGCTGCGTGTGCTCCGGAGAAACTTGCAACAGAGGGAGAGAGTGATAGAATCTGAATTGAATTGAATTCGTAGAGCAAGTAGCATGCTATTGTATGGTATGCAAGATCAATGCCAGTCAGTCGGAAGGCGAGATAACTATCTAGTAACTAACACATGTGCATGTCGTCATCTATCCTCGGCTGAGCCTCTCTCCCCTTCACCATCCTATCCCATGCTCTCCGACGTTTTGATGTTTAAATATCGGCGACTGGCCGGCCCCTCCCTGCTCTGTGTCCAGCTTACTCCGATTGAAGTATTTATTCGCGTGTTTGTTTATGGGCAAATCATCCACATCGGGATTTGTCTGTTTCGGTCCAGTCGAATTGCTTGCCGGTGAACGCAAGCAGCAACCAGTCAGGAAACCTAAGGTGGTGTGACCTGTTGGGCCATTCTCTGACATACTTCAAAGCTCTCATGGCACCCTCTTCTTCTTCTTCTTCCTCCTCCTCCATCCCCACTTCCACTTCCTCCTTCCAACCCCCGTCAGCTTCCTCCATCCTCTCCACTGCTACCTCCCGTCTCGCCTCCCTATCTTCACACATCATGGGCTCCTCAAGCCCTACCGTCTTCTCTACGGCCAACGTGCCCGCCGCCCCGGAGGATCCCCTCTTCGGTCTCGCTCAGGCCTTCCGCCAAGATCCCTCCGACAAGAAGGTCGATCTCGTTATCGGCGCCTATCGCGATAACAACGCCAAACCGTGGATTCTGCCCGTTGTGAAGAAGGTAAGGTTTTTCTCTTCCCAGGTGGGAGTTTGATCACGACTAAACCCAAATCCAGGCCGACGACCTTGTGCGCAACGACCCCAACCTCAACCATGAATACCTTCCCATCAAGGGATTGGCCGATTACACCAGCGCGGCGCAGAAGCTCATGATCGGCGCCGACAGCCCCGCCATTCGCGAGAACCGAGTTCGTCTACCCTTTGGTGTACACGGTACTACCAGCATCCAATACTAACAAGAACCCACCTCTCAGGTCTGCACATTCCAAACCATCTCCGGCACCGGCGCCGTCCACCTGGGCGCGCTCTTCCTCGCCAAGTTCCACCCCGCGAAGCCCTCCATCTACCTCTCCAACCCCACCTGGGCCAACCACCACCAGATCTTCACGAATGTCGGCCTCTCCCTCGCCAACTACCCCTACTTCTCCGCCAAGACCAAGGGCCTGGACTTCGACGGCATGCTGGGCGCGCTGCGGTCCGCCCCCACCGGCTCCGTCATCCTCCTGCACGCCTGCGCGCACAACCCCACGGGCGTCGACCTCACCCAGGACCAGTGGAAGGAGGTCGCCGTCGTGATGCGCGACCGTCACCACTTCCCCTTCTTCGACTGCGCCTACCAGGGCTTCGCCTCGGGCGACCTCCGCCGCGACGCCTGGGCGGTGAGCTACTTCATCGAGCAAGGGTTCGAGCTGTGCATCGCGCAGTCCTTCGCCAAGAACTTTGGTCTGTACGGCCAGCGCACGGGAGCGTTCCACTTCGTGTCCGCGCCCGGTGCCGAGGCCGCGGCCAACAACAGCAACATCGCCTCCCAGCTGGCCATCCTCCAGCGGTCGGAGATCTCGAACCCCCCGGCGTACGGTGCGCGCATCGCGAGCCGGGTGCTGAACGATGAGACGCTGTTCGCCGAGTGGGAGGAGGACCTGCGGACGATGAGTGGGCGGATCGCGGAGATGCGCAAGGGACTGCGGGAGAGGCTCGAAGCCAAGGGCACGCCGGGCTCGTGGCAGCACATCACGGATCAGATTGGCATGTTCAGCTTCACGGGGTTGACGGAGAGCCAAGTTAAGATCCTGCGCGAGAAGTGGCATGTTTACATGGTAAGTTTTTCTTCTCGGTTGGTTTTGGTAGCTACATACTAACAACGGAGACAGACGAAGAACGGCCGCATCTCGATGGCGGGACTGAACACGAATAATCTGGATTACTTTGCCGAGGCGGTGGATAGCGTGGTGCGGGAGACGTCATAAGCGGGTTGCTCTTTTCGTTGAATGAACCATAAAACACAGCATACAGAACATAAGACATAAACCATTAGGGGGTTATCATAATGCCAATGCGCAAAGAAGCCGAAAATTAAGAATGTGTTGTTGAATTATACAGCTGGAAAGTCTAGAAGACCAGATCCCACACCACCAACCAAGTACACAGTCCGACGGTGCCCCAAAACACCGCCTGCGCGGTACTCCGCCGCTCACTCGCGCGCTTGAGCTCCTTGTTTCCTTGCCCGATGTTGGAATGCGTGTTGCTCGCGTCGGTGACCAGCTGGTTGATATATTCCTCCTGCGTGGACAGATGGGCGACGAGAGTCTGTTGGAGGGAGGAGATCTCCAGTAGCGATTTCTCGGCGGTTCTGCGATACAGACACACACACACATTAGCTCGGGTTGCCCTTGCCCATCCACCACCCTAGCCAAAGGGGGAAAAAAAAGACAAACATACCGGACCTTACTCAAGGTATCCTCATAATACTTGACCATGGCATCATTCTCCTCCGCGAACAGCTGCAACTGCTCCGGCGAGAGCTGCGCCTCGATAGCGTGTAGTTCTGTCTCCTCCAACCGCTGGCCCTGCGTCTCCCCCGACGGCGGCGGCAGCATCATGTCGCCTGCATGTTCCGACCCTTGCCCTTGCCCAAACCCGTGCCCCAACCCCCGTTCCTCCCCCCGCTCCTTACCCGACTGCTGCTGCTGCTGCTGTTTTGATTGTTGTTGCTGCTGCGACAAATAAAGCACACTCCTCTCCCGCTCCCTGACCCTCTCCAGCCTCTTCTCCACCATCCCACGCTGCACCGCCACGACCCCCTCCAGCTTCCGCTGCAGGAACCACAGCACCGCCGCGCGAAGCTGCTTCGTGTTGTCCTCGGCGGCCTCCTCGGCGCGTTGCGCGGGGGTTGCTGTTGCGCGTGTTTGCGGGTCGTCATCGCCGCCGGCCGCCCACCGGGCCAGAACGCCGCCCACGCGACTCCCGTATTTCTTGCGGAGGAGCTGCGCCCGCGTCTCCTGCCGGAGGGTCTCGGCGGAGGCGAGCGTGGAGATGGAGGTGGAGAGTTGGCGGAGGAGGTGGGAGGTTGAGGTGTCGATTTCGGCGCGGGAGGTGTCGGTTAGGTCTTTTGGCGGTGGGGGGGGGAGGGCGAGGGGTGAGGGGTCTGAGGGGGGTTTGTGGGATGACTTGTTGTTGTTGTGGTGGTGGTTGTGGTTGATGGAGAGGTAGGAGGGGCGGATGCGGTGGAGGTAGTGCAGGAGGGAGGTTATGTGGTTGTTCTGGGGGTGGTTAGTGGTTTTGCTTGTGGTTGGTGGGTGGAAGAGAGGGGGTTAAGGTAGGTTAGGGGCACGTACAATCCGGTAGGCTTCTTTGAGGAACTCGTCCGCCGTTTCGGTGGAGAGATAACCCTTCGAGAGGCGCGGGGCATTGGGTTTGCTTTTTAGGAGCTCGTGGAGGGTTGGGGTTAGGTCTGTCATTTTGGGGGGTGGTGGAGCATGGAGACGGTAGCGGTAACGGTATGGCTGGGTTGATTGTGGACTCAATAGAGGGATGGTGGTGGTGGTGATGATGATGATGTTGACAGCTTGATATGTACGTAGGCGGTGGAACTGGCCGAGGCGGAGGGGAGGGTCCCGTCCCGTGATTGTGGATACATTAGTAATGAGTTATGCATGTGCTAATACTGGTAGTTATGCCTCAGGCACGTAAGCTGTAGTTGTTTGCTTCTCACCTTGTAATAGGTCTATGCTGCTGATATGCGAAGGTTCTATTAGCCATCATACTGGCTACTTTCTTACCGTAACTCTTACCTGAAGAGCATAGCACAAGGCATGGACGGTTTGAGATGGATGGTTTGGTGGAAAGTAATCGCCCAGTAGCAAGAATGGTGTGAATCACTGCCGGGGATATCTTCTTCGTTGATTCCATCTCAGACTCCACAATCTAGGATAAAGAGCTGAAAGTCCGCCATGGATCGCACGGCAGGATCATTGTCTCGAGACCAAGCCGCCAGGTAAATCCCTCTTAACCTAGACCATCTCGAAAGACAAGTACGCCCAAGCTGATCTATAAAATGCATTTCGATCACCTAGCAACGTCGTATCGTTCACTCTCAGCCCCTTGATCATCTGAGTCAGTAAGTACAAAACCGCAAGCAACACCCACATCTGTACAAAATGGATTACAGCGGACTCGTAGTCTCCAGCTTCCAGGACCAGAAGATCCGATACACCGTCTTCGGAGCGCCGGTCCTCGAGCTCTACGGCATGGAGGTCGACTACCCAGATTTCAGTGGCTATATCATCCCGGACAAGCACATCGAGAGAGCCTGCCAAGCGCTCGAGGACAACGGTCTCGAGAGCTGCAAACATGGCGCCGACTGCCCTACCATGACGGGCCACGAGCAACCGCCCACAGACATACCTCACTTCCATTTCCCCCGAGAGGCGAACCGGATTGTGGTGAGTAACAGCCGCGGATCCAGCACCACCAGCGATTGCACTGACTCATCATCATCCACAGGATCCTCCGCTTCCAGCGACGACGACCCCTACCAGCCGATGCTGACCGTCCGGATCTACCGCAAGAGCGTGTACATGTGGCAGGCGCGCGACCCGCCGCTGCGCCGGCCGCGCGCCGTCCACGTGGACTACATGCTGAGCGGCGAGGGCGAGAACCGCCTGCAGGACATCGGGCGCAACGACGTGATCCTGCCCAGCTTCGCCTGCTGGGCGGAGACCCTGTTTCTGAATCTGTGTCGCGACCTGATCGGGGGCAGCGTGCTGCAGGAGCTGTGGAAGCGCGAGCTCGAGAAGGTCGCCCTCTCCATACAGGACAACAACTACCTGGACATCGAGCCGCCGTTCGGGGAGCTCCTCTGGAGCTTCAGGGAGAATCTCCGCCTGCAACAGGACACACTCACGGTCGGGGCCCGACGCACGCTTCGCAAGGTCTATGAGGAGTTGCGGCTGACCGGGGAGATGCCCGAGACGCAGGGCGTCCTGTACTTGGAGCTGGGCCTGGAGCCGCCGGAGTTGGAAGATGGCAGCGAGGACGGGAACGGGGACGGGGACGGGGACGGGGACAGAACTCCTACGGCCCGACGATCCTATGATTCGGATGAGGGATCGGGGGAGACGCTTGCGACTGAAAGTCGATCTAGCGATAGTAGTGAGTCCGGGACGGTTGCCGGGTTGTCGGATCAAAGCGGATCCAATGAGGGCGATTCTAGCGAGGCCAGTTCCAGCGAGGCCAGTTCCAGCGAGGCCAGTTCCAGCGAGGGCGGTTCCAGTGAAGCCAGCTCAAGTGAAGCCAGCTCAAGTGAGAGCAGTTCAAGCCAATCTACCAGCGATGAGGGTGATTGATTAGTACGTCGGATTCAATGGCTTCTGCGCCCCGGACACATTTCTCGTGTCGACGACCTCTTTCTTGGAAAGTTGCGTTTGCCTACATTGTTTGTATTGTCAGCAATTGCACAGTCATTTATATAAAGTCGAGTTTTCCTGTATTAGCATCAGATTATATGCAATCAGCCGCTCTATTCAAGCCAGCCTCTGCGGCAATATGCGCAAGCAATGTATGCAATGCAAAGAGAGTCTCTGTGGAGGTCGACGTGCACCTCACCACCGTGGGTGCAAGATTGCCCGAGTCAGTCCGTGGTTCCTCGACCCCACTCGAGATTGGCAATCACGACTCGAAGGAGACTCTCGCTGGCTTGGACCAGCTGAGTAGGCTTGCTGTTTAGACTCGATATGATGGGTGGATGGGATATGCGCGACTGATCGATCCTCTTTGAAGAGTGTTTGATTGCCGGGGGGGGGGTAGAAGGCTGAAGGAAGAACGATGACCCACCGTTCACCTTTAGCCCGACCCCACTGCACAGACGAGAGCCAGCGGGACTCACAACTTGGTTCGGCAAGTTTATAGTGAATAGTGCTTAATTAATTGCTGACGGTTTCAAGATGCATGGCCACTGTTAAAGTCACTGGAAGAGATTTAGACTCCGTTCTTTTATTCTTTCGTCTCAGGTTGAGTAGGGAAGAAGTGCCCACACAGCAGTCTCATCACTACGTTCGAGATTCTTAACAAACATACAAGTACTATTCGCATCTATGACTCAACCCCATCCACCACAGCCAACTAATCATTGGCATCAACCGAAAAATCACAAATATCTCCACGATTACGAGAGTAATACGAACCAAGACCAAACTCATGAAAGAAAACCAAGTCATTGCAGAGTATAAATCCAACATCCTTCACGTAAGCCAAACACTACATGCCCATGACCAGGTACACACCGATTCATCCTACCACACCGATCACCCACAGACCCAAGCCTCAATCCCCAAAACTAAGGAACTGCGTGGCTGTCCTCGCCTCCGGCCCCGTGAGGATCATCTCCCACCGCGACCGACAGCTGGGGCAGGTCGACACCAGACTCATCCGCAGGGCCCGGTCCATCCACCGGCGGAAGCACTCGGTGTGGAAGTCCACACTGCACCCGGTACAGTGCCACTTCAGCGGGCTGCCGTGCGCCGGGGGCTCGTGGCAGAGCCCGCAGAAGCCGTCGACGGCGTAGGCGTTGGCGTTGCACCGGACCATGCAGGTGAGGGGGGTGGGGTGCGTTGTGTTGGACATTGTTTAGCGGTGTTGGGGCTTAGGTG